TAACTTAAATGATGTAAAACACAATATACTACTCAGAGACTTTTACATTTTCATCAGTTTTGCACATTTTCATATGTACTTAACCTCAGTCTACAACATTCCTTCATTATTCTGTCCCTGATGTTTTTATACTCCCAACACATAATAAAACCAGTTTGATTTACAGCATGGGAAGCTATCCACCTGGCTGCCTTTGAAGCAGAGCATGGTCAATAGAGAACATTCCTTCTGGTTTCTCGTTACATGTAAAGGCTTTTGTAATGCTTATTGCATTCTATTTAGTATTTTAAAAAACTGCTGGCTAGTTTCTGATCACTTGGGTAAATGCCCCAAAGTGGTATTGCTGGATCATAGAGGAGTTCTATGTGGAGTCTTTGGAGGAACCTCCATACTACTTTCCAAAGCAGTTGAACAAGTTTACACTCCCAACAATTATGCATTAAGGTTCCCTTCTGTCCACATCCCCTACAGCCTCTGTTGTTATTAGAGTTCTTGATTATAGCCATTCTAACTGGGGTGATATGGTATCTCAATGTTGTTTTGATTTGCATTTCTTTTATGGCTAGAGAGGTTGAGCTTTTCTTCATGTGTCTATTGGCCATCCTCCTTTCCTCTTCAGAGAAGTTTCTCTTTAAGTCTTTAGCTCACTTATTTATTGGGCAGTTGTTTCTTTGAGGATTTGTTGTTGGGGGATTTAATTTTTTGGGGTTCCAGGTATATTTTAAATATGAGACCCTTGTCCGTTACCAGCACAACTATGTTTACTGCAGCATTATTTCCCATGGCTAAGATATGGAACAAACCCAGATGCTCCTCACTAGATGAAAGGATGAAGAAAATGTGATATATATATATATACACAATGGAATTCTATTCCTCCATCAGAAAGTATGACATTGCCCCATTTGTTAAGAAATGGAAAGACTTGGAAAAAATTATATTAAGTGAATTAAGACAGGTCCAAAAAAACATAGGTCCCATGGTTTCCCTTATTTGCAATAACTAGTATATGTCTGAGTCAAGCAGAAAAAGGTCAGATACATTGATGTTAGGCGAAATGAACCCCAAGATAAGGATTCAATTGTTTTTTTCTTTATTGCAATTGTTTCGAACATTTATAAGATGATTTCTTTGTTGATTTGTATGTCCGTCCCCCATGGTATAACCCATGCTTTCACTGTATTTGATGTTGGTATAAGTTGTGGAGGGGAAGGGAAAAAACAAATTGTTTAAATAGGGATGCAGGTGGATTCATTGCAATAATGAGATGAAACAAGTCCTTATGTCGAAAAACGAACTTTACATCTTTGGTGGGGGGGGTGGTGGGAGGGGGGGTGGGAGGGGGGGTGTGGGGAGATGGGAAGGGATGGAAACAGGAAGCAAAGAAGGAGGCAACAGTGCTTGATAAGAAATATACTCATTATATTGCCCATGTAATTGTAAGCTCATTCCTAGAAGTTTATGTCAAGTATTTCACAAGTTTTATTTCTCTTAATTCTTAAGAAAACATTTGCTATAATTCTAATATTATTACCATTTTAGTGTTAGGAAATATTGTAATTAAAGGCACTAAGTGTATGACGCAAAGACACACAGTGGGGAAGGAAATGAGTCAAAATTTCCAAAAGTCAGCAATAAAAAAATAGGTAAAATCCTCTCCATTCCCTTACACTCTCAATTCAATATTCATGTTGTCCAAGATAGCAATTATTGCCCACGGTAATTGTTTTCTGTCACATTTTGTCTTCAACACGGACTGTATTGGTGACATTGGGTTATGCTCAGAGTTGAGCTCATAAATTGAGGTCTAAAGAGAGACAAATTTCTTCTGTTCCACAGTTCCAGTATACGTTTTAAAAAGTACTAAAACTAGCCGGTAGCTGGTGGCTAACACCTATAATCCTGGCTACAGAGGAAGCTGAGATCTGAGGATTGCGCTTTAAAGCCAGCCCAGGCTGGAAAGTCTGTGATACTCTCATATCCAATAAACCACTAGGAAAGCAGAAGTGGCACTGTGGTTCAAGGGGTAGAGCACTGGCCTTCAGCTGAAAGGCACAGGGACAGCGCCCAAGCCCAGAGTTCAAGCCACATGACCCATAAAAAAAAAGGATTAAAACTTTTACATACTATCACTTACTGCCTTTTAAGAATCCAAAAATGAAATAAATTCACATATAATCACTCCAAAATGCTTTAAAAGCAGGAGATGATAAACAAGCCTTTATGAAGTAAATTTTCTTCTACTTTTTAAATTATTCTGAAAGCCTTGTGATGGTTGGTCACACCTGTAATCCTGTCTACTCGGGTATGTGCTCAGGAACCTGAGATCTGTGGATAACCCTTGGAAGCCAATCAGGACAAAAAATATTCATGAAATTATTTTTTTAAAAAAATTAATGAACTAGCAAAGAGCCAAGAATGGAGATTTAGCTTATATAGTAGCTCATCAATCTAGAGAGGAATGGCCTAGGGAGAACTTGATGCACTGAATTCTAACTCTGAGAACGAAAATGAGCAGGCACGCACATATATACATACATACGTACATACATACATACACACACACATTTATTCAAAATATCTTCATATCAGTGTTTTGCATTAATTTCTTTGTTAATGATATTAAATGGGTAAAATAGGGGAAATATTCTCTTCCATCCAAGAATATTTTTATGTTTTTTTATTGTAAAAGTACTGTACATAGTGGTTACAGTTAATAAAAAAGGTAATGAGTATATTTCCTATCAAACATTGTTACCTCCTCCTTTGTTTTCCCCCACCATCCCTTCCCTCTCACCTCCACAAGTACACTCCCCTCCTCCCACCCCGCCTAAATTGTAAAGTTCGTTTTTCACCATACTGTCTTGTGCATCACATTATTGCAATGGGTCATACTGTATCCTTATTTAAGCATTTTGTTTTTTCCCTTTCCATCCCCAAATTAGAAAAATGTATATAGAAGATGGAGGTGCACCAACATCAGATACAGTGAAAACAGGGGTTTAACTGTGGGGGGCGCACATATAAAAAAATCACATCATACGTTATAAATATATTAGAAACAACAGAAAGAAATAAAAAACCACTTGTGTCCCTATCATGGGGTTCATTTACCTTAACATCATCTTATCTAGTCATATGCACTTGCTTTTGACCTTTTCTTTTTTTTTTAATTGTGAAAATACCATACAGAGGAGTTACAATTACGTGGAAAAGGTAATGTGTACATTTCTTATCAAGCATTGTTGCCTCCTCCTTTTTTTCGCCTTACCATGCCTTCTTTGCTTATCCCAGACATACATTCGCTATTGCAAATAAGGGATACCATAGGACCTATGTTTCTTTTTTTATTGTGAAAATACCATACCGAGGGGTTACAATTACATGGGCGAGTTATTGAGTGCATTTCTTTTTTTTTTTTATTGTGAGAATACTGACAGAGGAGTTACAATTACATGGGCAAGATAACGAGTATATTTCTTTTTTTTTTTTTTTAAGCAAACAATATTTTATTAGAATTATATATAATACATAATGATAAATATAAGAAGTGTATTAAGTATAGGATCTTAAAATACCTACATTCAATTTTCAAAACTCAACATTATAATTTAGGTGGTAGGAACATTATATATAATCTATAAAGTAGTACAAATATCAGATTCAAACTATAAAGAACAGGAATTCTTTTACAACCTGTAATGGATTCAGATACCTCATCTGTAATTTTAGTTTTCCACAGAATCAAAAGAAGGTACATAACACTTCAATGTGCCTAAAACTTCAATATATTGGTCTTTAAATGCGATTTAATTTTCAAGAAAACCTAAATTATTTAAGTGCATCAGAATCCCCATTATTAACCAAAGCTAAGTTTCTATCAATGATGAGACAGGTGTTTTCCAGCTTATATATATGACTAAACAAAAGAGGAAATAGCTTTCCCTCCTGCTTGTCATTTGCTTTGCTTTGTATATCTCAAGGTCTTTTAAAATTTAATGTCCAAACCTGGGAGGTAAGCAGGTTTAAGGCAGAAACTGCTGCATATGCCATCAGATATAAGGAGCATACCAAAGATTGAGCCTTCAATGGAGCTGGCTGAAACAAGAACTGGAATGCTGTTGGTATTTCTACAATGAGTTGCTATCTAAACAAGTCTCAAGAAATCCACTGTCCAGTTCAGGTTGAAACGCATAAGGTAATGTGTCACGGTTGTTTATAAAAGTTTCTCCCTATCTAACGGTCGACTCAGAGGTAACATTTTTCTCTTATAACAATGCTCTTATGTGATAGTTTTTATTTTCTAAATTAAAAAACTGTGGTGGTGATCATCTATCTTCTTGTTCCTGCATTGTATTCTGCATGTTACCATTTATACTATTTTTAATTATTACTTACCCTGATGATATACTTTCACTTACTTTATGAATTCTCTTGACTACAACCTCCTGTTTTTCATTGTATACTTCTGCCACGGAAGTGCCCCAATTTTCAAAAACTTCTTTTTTGCGGTCTGTAATATAAACTTGACACCGACTTACAATGCCCTATTTATTGGCCAATTCAATGTAAAGTGTTTCCTCCCAACTGGAACAAAACATACTTTTGGGATGAAAGTTTGCAAAAGTGTCTTGACAAATCCCATGTCCAATCAGTATTTATTAAATAACAGCTAGATTGTCTATGCTAAAAATTGATCTAACTGATTGCCTCAGGCATAGTCTAGACAATATTAGGTTGAAATATGTAAGCCATACAATCTGGCCAAGTTATTTTGAGGATAAAAAGGATTTTCTTAAACCCAGAAAATTAGTCTTGGTTCAACTATCCTCAGTGCTTCAAAACCAACTTAAGTACAAGAACAGGATGGTTCCTACCTCACCAGCATCCCTGGATCTCCTAAAGTCCATTCACATGCATTCTCCTTCCCAGACTTCCCCAGAAAACACCCAACAAATCCCCCTTCCCTAAAACAAAACTCATTTCCTTCCTTCCTCTGAGAAAAACAAGTTTATTCACTAAGTAATAAAAACCATAACTAGTATTTAGAGCCTTTGAAAAAATAGTAATCCAGGCCTTTTCAGCTTAACTGAGAAGCAGAGCTGATTTCTTCTCTATCCTGCTCGAAATCAGAGAATGGTCAGAAGCCTACAGGGATTCAGATGCCACCTGAGGCTCAGTCTTTTCTTTTGTTGTCTGCTGGTTTGGTTTGGCCCCATTACTTCAGCCCTGGCCATAGCCATCTCAGCACTAGGGTATCCTGTCACAATGAGGCAGCACAAAAGCCATCAGGTAGCACAGAGCTTGACAAAATTTATCTGAATAGCTCAAAGTTTTTTGAATAATCAAATTGAACAGAGCTATTTTATAATTTACCTCAATATCATCATAGGTATTATGAAAAAAATGTTCTGCTAATTACCTTTCTGACTCTTGAGCACCCTCTTAAAAGCTCCCTCATCCCCACTATGTATGCTCTACAAAACAGATCTTTAAAAGTTCTTCAGTTAGGATCACCTCTTAGATCAGAAACCAAAGCAGTTTCCTCACCTCTTTAATTCTCCATAAGGCATCAATATTATACTGTCACATACAAATGTGTGTATGTATACCTTGTCATTTGCTTTTTTAAAAAGTAAAAAGCTCTTCTTATTCTCCTGTGTCCAATATAGGCACTCAAGAACGTAGTTAGAAAGTATTAATAAAGGCCACAAACACTTCCCAAGGAAGATCATTAAGTAAAAAATCCTCTTCCTCTCATGTAATAATCTGGCCTTCTATGCCAGTTAAGAACAACTGTGTAATCCATGGTGGCAGGAAGACGGGATCGTTCCCACTTTGGATAGTAGCTGAATTTTTATTGGCAGTCCTATTAAAATATGTAATTCCTCATTTGTTCTAAACAAGTCTTAGCTTATGTTCAGCTTTCCTTCAAAGAATATCTTTACTCTCCCATCAGAATATAAACATTTGGAGATTTGAACAGCAAGGTTCTAGGTAGGAATCAAGTCACTTTCAATAATGTGTTGGTTATGCAGAGAAGGGGGAAAGATATGGAAGAACAGCAGGGAAGGAGGGTAAGAGAAGCATAAGTTCACTGGGAGCACTGGCAGGAAGCAAGTCTTTCAAAGCTGTTGTCGGTATTTCATGAAGGCCCAGGCTGCTACCATAGTGAGAGCAAACACTGGCAACAGCATCACAGCTACAGGAATACTATTTGGCTCCCCTTCACCTCGATGTCCTATAGGTCCATTCTGCACCTGTAACCGGTGCTGTACTCTCAGGGACACAGCATAGCCTGCATTACGAAAGAGGTCCACAGCATCCTGGTGCAGTAGGTTCTTTAGGTCTTGGCCATTTACCGAGAGGATCTTATCACCCTCCTGGAGCCGCCCATCCTGGGCTGCAGCCCCATTCTCTTTGATTCGGCTGACGTAGATGCCACTGTCATTGGAGACATACTGCTGATCTGTCCCACCGACGATGTTGAAGCCCAGCCCTAAGGGTCCTCTAGTAAGACTGATTTCTTCCTCCGTGACCAAATAATCCACTCTCCCGTTCATGGTTTACTGCTCGCCGGGATTCGCCTGAGGCTCGGCGGACGCGCCGCAGGGGTGAAGGTGAATCAAGCTCGGCGCCCTAACGAGTATATTTCTTATCAAGCATTGTTGCCTCCTCTTTGCTTCCCCTTCCCACCCCTTCCCATACGCCCCCACTTCCCCCACCCGGTCCTCCTCCCCCCAAAGTTGTAAAGTTCATTTTTTGACATAAGAACTTGTACATCTCATTGTTGCAATGGGTCCACCTGTATCCCTGGTTAAACGAATTGTTTTTTTTTTCCTTCCCCTTCACAAATTATACCAACATCAAATGCAGTGAAAGCATGGGTTATACCTTGTGGGAGGGACATAAAAAGCAACATAGAAATCGTCTTATAAATATGTTAGAGAAAAATTGCCTGAAAGAAAAAAAAAACAAAATACATTTGAATACTTGTCTTGGGGTTCATTCCCCTAACATTAACTTATCTGACCTTTCCTGCTTGACTCAGACATATACTAGTTATTGCAAATAAGGGAAACCATGGGACTTATGTGTCTTTGGGCCTGGCTTACTTCACTTAATATAATTTTTTCCAAGTCTTTCCATTTCCTAACAAATGGGACAATGTCATTCTTTCTGATGGAAGCATAGAATTCCATTTTTTATCAAGCATTGTTGCCTTCTCCTTTCTTTCCCCTTCCGATCCCTGCCCATCTCCCACTCCCCACCCCCACCAAACCTCCCCCACCCCAGCCCCCTCACCATCTACATCCCTCCACCCCCCGGCCAAAATCATTTTTTGACATAACGACTTGTTCATCTCATTTTAATGAGTCCACCTGCATCCCTATTTAAACAATTTGTGTTTCTCTTCCCCTCCACAAATTATACCAACATCAAATACATTGAAAACAGGGGCTTTAGCTTGCAGGAAAAACATACAAAGCAACAAAGAAATCATCTTATAAATATGTTAGAAACAATCACAAGAAAGAAAAACCATTTGAATCCTTACCTTGGGGTTCATGTTGCCTAACATCAAGTTATATGATGTTTTCTGCTTGTCTCAGACACATAGTAGTTATTGCAAATAAGGAAACCATGGGATATATGTTTCTTTTTGGGCCTGGCTTACTTCACTTCTTTGGGCCTGGCTTAATTAACTTAATATAATTTTTGCCAAGTCTTTCCATTTCCTAGCAAACTGGGTGATGCCATTCTTTCTGATGGAGGCATAGAATTGCAGTACACACACACACACACACACACACACACACACACACACACACACACACACACACAAATACATACACTTTCTTGATCCATTCATTTACTGTGGGGCATCGGGTTTGGTTATGTATCTTATCTATGGTAAATAATGCTGCAATGAACATAGTTTTGCTGGTAGTTTTAGTATGGCCTTGTTTGTGATCATTTGGATGAATGCCCAAAATGGGATTGCTGGGTCTTAGAGGCACTCTATGTAGTTTTTTGAAGAACCTCCATACTACTTTCCAAAGTCTTCGAACAAGTTTAAACTCCCAACAAAAATGCATTAAGATTCCCTTCTGTCCAAAGCCTATCCAGCATCTGTTCTTTTAAAAATCGGGAATGCTTCACGAACCTGCGTGTCATCCTCAGTCAGGGGCTATTGTTCTCTTTATTGTTCCAATGTTAGTGTATGTACTACTGAATTGAGCACAGAATATTTTTTATATATAAAGTGTAATTGATTTTCTTAAAGTAGACAATTCCACAAAAATTAAATTCAAAAGAATTGTGGTGAAATTTTAGAACCATGTATTTTTTACATAATAACACATTTAAGAATAAAGTCAAGATTGACATGTCAAAAACAAAATAATTCCAGACATTTGTTGTTCAACGCATGTGTTGGAGGAGGAATTCAATTATTCTGTACAAGGAACCTGTGATAATGAACACTATAGAAAGTGTTAAGGTTTGTTTAAAGTTTTAATGTTTTTAATATGTTTAATTTTGGGAATTTGCTCATATATGCCAAAATTTAGACTATTTAGCAGGTTGTAAAACTTTTCCACAAAGCATATAAGATTCATGGTAGCAGTCATACACTACTAAGTATGTACATTTCAGAGTTTATAGAAACTGTACTAATGAGAAGTTGCAAAGTGTTTGTGTAAAGAAGCAGAGTGAAGATTTAAGACATTACCTTCACAGTTTCTGTTAAAATTTAAGGGCTTCCTTACTTTATATGTTAGCGAGGAACAAATCATGGTATAAGCCATATACAAATGATGAGATGAACCATAAATAATAATCTTAGTGAGTAACTTTAAAGGCTATTGATAGCCTATAAAATTCTGGTTTAACATCATAGACTTAGGCAGTTTTAAATGTACAGCAATATGAGAAAATAATAAATAGAATATGTAGTACATTTCAAATATTGGAAACAGTGGTAATTGTTTTGTTTGTTTGTTTTTTTTTTTTAAATGAACCTCAGCCAATTTTATTCAAATTCTCCAAGTTATACCAAGTATATTTACTGCTTCTTAAATGTATGACACAGTTTATATTTTATTACTTTGTCTTTCCTTTATGCCTTTTCCACATTTTCAGTTCTTGTTTTTTTATTTTATTAATCATTAATATTTATGTATTGGTTTTCCTTATTTGTAGCATTGTTTTCCTTGTTGTAATATAATACAACTTTTTGTAAGTCAACATTAGGAAGTACTTTGAGAATGTTATTGGGATGGAGACTCTGTTTTTTATAGGTAAATGTGAATTTACAAAAAGCAAAATTAGTAAAAACAAAACATTGATTAAACATTTTATCAATTAGAATCTGAATCAGGAGTGTTGATAAATGTCCACACCTAAAATCTTAGCCCTAGACTGAAGCACTAGTGTTACAACGTTGAGCACACAAAAGTGAGAGATTGTGTTTTGTTTTGTTTTGTTTTTGTTGGTTGTGGGGCTTGAACTCTGGGTCCTGGGTGCTGTCTTTCAGCTCCTCAGCTCAAGGCTAGTGCTACTACTTGAGTCACAGCAACTCTTCCATCTTTTTCTGCTTATGTGGTGCTGAGGAATCAAACCCAGGACCTCATGCATGCAAGGCAAGCACTCTACACTGAACCACCCTCCCAGCACCTGAAAGACTGTGTTTTAAAAAATCATCTAAACAACATTTACTTTCTGCTTTGGGTTATATAATGAAATAAAGAATATCTTTTTATGTTTTTGAATGGTCATACTTCTAAACTTATATTAAATTCAGCCACTTTATCCTTTACAAAGTCATGTAATATCTCTGAGAGTTTGCTTCTGTAAAGATTGTTTTTTTATTGATAATTTATTCTGAATAATTTTTTATTTTTTTTATCAAAATCACTTTATATTTTATGGTTTATCCTGTTTTTTTTTATTAAGTGTGAAAATACCAGTCAGAGGGGTTACAATTACATGGGCAAGGTAATGAGTACATTTCTTATCAAGCATTGTTGCATACTCCTTTGTTTCCCCTTACCATCCCTTCCAATCTCACCCCCCTTACATCCCGTTTCCCCATCCCACTTCCCCCCACCCAAAGTTGTAAAATTCGTTTTTTCAACATAATGGTTTGTATATCCCATTGTTGCAATGGGTCCACCTGTATCCCTATTTAAAAATGTTTTTCCCTTCCCCTCCACAAATTATACCAACATCAAATACAGTGAAAACAGGGGTTATACCATGCGGGAGGGACATACAAAGTAACAAAGAAATCATCTTATAAATATGTTAGAAATAATTACAGGAAATAAAAATAAATTTGAATTCTTATCTTGCGGTTCATTTCACCTAACATCAACTTATCTAACAATTTCTGCGTGTCTCAGACATACACTAGCAATTGCTAATAAGTGAAACCATGGGACCTATGATTCTTTGGACCTGGCTTTCTTCACTTAATATAATTTTTCCAAGTTTCCATTTCCTGGGGCAATATCATTCTTTCAGATAGAGATATAGAATTCCATTGTGTATATATACAACATTTTCTTCATCCATTCATCTACTGAGGGGCATCTGGGTTGGTTCCATATCTTAGCTATGGTAATGCTGCAATAAATATATTTGTGCTGGTAGTTTTAGTATGGTCTTGTTTGTGATCATTTGGGTAAATGCCCAAAAGTGGGATTGCTGGGTCATAGGGAAGCTCTATGTGGAGTCTTTGGAGGAATCTCCATACTACATTCCAAAGTGGTTGAACAAGATTACACACACACTAAACATGCATTAAGGTTCCCTTTTGTCCACATCCCCTCCAGCATCTGTTGGTTTTAGAGTTCTTGATTATAGCCATTCTAACTTACTTGAGGTGATATCTCAATGTTGATTGATTTGCATTTCTTTTATGGCTAGGGAGGTTGAGTATGTGTTTATTGGTCACCCTCCTTTCCTCTTCAGAGAAGTTTCTCTTTATGTCTTTAGCCCACTTAATTATTGGACAGTATTTTCGTTGAGTATTTGTTGTTGGAGGATTTAATTTTTTGTTTTCCAGGTCTATTTTAGATATGAAACCCTTGTCGGTTGTATGGCTAGTGAAGATCATCTCAGATTCCGTGGGCTTTCTATTGATCCTGCTAGCTATGTCCTTTGCCATGCAGAAGCTCTGCAATTGCATGCAATCCCATTTGTCCAACCTTTCTTTCCTTCGTTGTGCTTCTGGGTTTCTTTTTAGAAAATTTCAGCCTTTGTCAAAGAGACCTAGGGTTTCTCCTATTCCATCATGTAATGTTTTCAGAATGTCTGCTTTGACTCTGAGGTCTTTGATCCATTTGGAGTTGATTCTGGAATAGGGTGATATATAAGGATCTAGCCTTAATTTTCTACAAGTGATTAACCAATTTTGCCAGTACCATTTACTGAGCAGTCTGTCTTTCTTTGATTTTATCTTTTTAGATCCTTTATTGAATATTAGATGATTATGGGTCTGTAGGTTAATTTCTGGGTTTTTAATTCTATTCTATTGTTCCATTGTTCTTGTACCAGTACAAAACAGTTTTAATTTATATGGCTTTGTAGTAGAGTTTGAAGTTTGGTATTGATATTCCTCCAACACTGTTCT